ACTCTTGTAATATTGTTGATTTAAGCAGGGAATAAAAAAAATTATGTCGCCATTGACTGCAGTAGAATTTTGCGGTGTAGCAAAATAATTTTAAAATCAGCTACAGTCACTTTGCACACTGAAAGGTTAAAATAATTATTATTATTATTTTTGGGGGCATTTAGTAATTTAAAATTCTATATATTTTGGGTAAAATTTCGTAAGGGAGAATTTACATTCCGTATCCTGATTTTAGTGGTAAACAGTGATATCCCCATTAGCCGGAACAATTGGTGCAGAGCACTTCTGGGAATGAGAGATTTCAGGGGAAACGAGACGACTCTCTCAAAGCCGGAAAAAAATCCCTCATCCCTGGAATTTTTCGGGTAACGGAAAAATGTTCTAGGAAGTTCAAAAAATTGCCCATTACAGTAAAACCTAGAATAACGACAGTAATATGACCTCCAATATTGCAGTGTAAAGTGAATCATTAATTACCATTAAAATAAAGCAATACAGGTTGACAACCCTATATCCGAAATTCCGAAAACCGAAAAGCTCTGAAAACCGAAAGTTTTTTGGTGGAGAATTTTTTTTTTTTTTTTTTTTTTAGGCCTATCCGCACAGGTCGCTGACCCACATCGGGGCCTGGGGGGTGAAAATGTAATAGTAATAATAATTATAATAATAATAATAATAATGATAATACTGTAATAATAATTATTCATAGTAAATAAAATTTTTAATAAAAAATACACAAAAATAAAATAAGAATGATAATGATAATAATAATAATAATAATAATAATAATAATAATAATAATAATAATAATAATAATAAAGAAATACAAGAATGAAAAAAACATCAAAAGTGAGAAACACGACCTATGAATTATTATTATTATTATTATTATAATTATTATTATTATTATATTTTAGCTCCCAGGCCCCAATGTGGGTCAGTGACTGATCCCAGTAAAAACTTACCATTCTGAAATCCGAAAAATTCCGAAAACCGAAATGCATCTGGTCCCAAGGATTTCGGATAAGGGATTGTCAACCTGTAATAATGAGATGCGTTCCCAAGTGTGACCTTTTCGTATCTTTTGTGTGGCTTTTTACCCTCTTTTCCCCCCAAACAATAAAATTTATGAAAATGCAAACCATATTCTTTGAATAATGTTTATGAATGCACCTTATACAATATAAATGAATAATAATATGGACACACAAGAGGAGATGGGACGCCATTGTTTTCGTTAGTGTTTACAGCCAGGACGATTGTTCTACATAGTAAAATGAAGAAAATATGACCCTAGTTGTAGCTGTATTAAATAAATGTAAAAAAAAATTAATATATGCGTTTTAATTTATGTTATTTAATGTTAATAAATGGAACAATTGAAGTAGCTAACCACTAAGTGTAAAGAAAAATGCGAGACTGTGCTATGCCAACATATGTAAATGCATCCCTGTGTAAACATACCGTCCTTTCTCTACATAAGAATATGAAAGCAACTCTTATTTACTGTTCATATATGTTTTAAATAATACTTACGAATGTAAAACAAAAATTCTTAAAGTCTAAAACATAAGGACAGCCAATGAATATTGTGCGAGTTTTTACTCAGATGACGAAGTCATCAGGTTCAACTAGGGCTGAAGCTGTAGCTTTCCATAAAGCTGTCATAGCTGTTGCTGAAACTGTTACTGAACCTGAAGTTGATGTTGAAGCTGCTTATGATGCTGAATTTGATGGTGTAGCTGAAGTTGATGGTTTAGGCCTTCGAATAATAAAGCTGTCTAAAGAACCCTGCAGAGCTGCTTTCTTTTCTCATTATACATCTTTATGTAGAGGTCATTTGCATTTTTCAAGTCTCTGTTAATTTTACTGCTTCATTCTGTTAATGGATCCACTTCAGAAAATATGTTCATTGCTTGCTCCATATAATATCCACAGACCTCTCACCTTTTTCATATCATTTTAACACATCTTGTTTCTCAGCTAAGCTTAGAAACTTTCTTTTTGCTTTTGAACCATCAATACCACCACTTGCTATCTTGCTCTTGTTGAATAAGGACACAAAAATGCTGAGAGAAACCTGAGAAAGTTTTTCTCCTGTTCCTGTTCAGATGCGTGAAAACCAAAGGCCCGTCAGCTGTGACTGTTTATACAAGCCTGGCAGCCTCTGTGCGCAAGGCGTGTTTTTGTTTTGTATAAAACATATCGGGATTTAGTTATTATTTATATGAAAATTTATATTTTTTTTATTTTTTATTATATTTTTGTAGTAAATACGAAGAAAATAATGGCGTAAATTGAATTGGGTCCTAAATTAACCAGGGTCTTTAATATGAATCATCGTTAATAGAAACGTTGTTATTGGAGGCTTTCCTGTACATCATCTCTCGAACCCGGAAAAATATCCCTCATCCCCGTTATTTTCCGGGTAACAGGAAAATTTTCTTGGAATTTCCAGAAAATTCGCCCAATTTCCATCTCTCAAACCTGGAAAAACTCCTCCATCCCCGGAATTTTCCGGGTATTGGGAAAATTTTCTCGGAATTTCCCAGGTGTCGGGAAATTTTATCAAAATTTCCCGGAAATTGTGCTCCTCTGAAAATTTCAATTCCAGCTATCGGAGAGTTCCGGGTTTGAGGGATTCCAGCTAACGGAGATATTACTTCAGTGATATCTCCGTTAGCTGGAACACTTGGTGCAGAGCACTTCTGGGTAACGAGATGACTCTCTCAAAGCCAGAAAACCTCTTCCATCCCCGGAATTTTCCAGGTATCTGGAAAATTTTCTCAGAATTTTTTGGGAAAATGTGCCTCCACGGGAAATCATTCCCAAAGACGGAATTTTCCGGAAAATTCCGGCTTTGGGAACGATTTTCAGAGAACATTTCAATTTCGGCTATCGGAGAGCTCCGGGTTTGAGGGATTCCGGCTAACGGGCAGGCCCGGATTATCCATTAGGCACAGTAGGCACAGTGTCAAGGGCCTACGAGATATTGGGGGCCTACGAAAAATAAAACGAGAACTTTTCTTCCCCTTTTTCTACAGGTTATTATTAAATTGATACTGAGGTACTTTTTTTCCATTTATTTATTACTTAATCCTTTTAGTATCTATTTATGTTACTTGATTATTTTCTATACTATTCTATTTAGGCATATTCTGGCCATAGATGAAAGCAAAATAGTAGAAGAAAGTTGTTTCAAAGAGTACACAAAATTTTTATTTTTTTTCAGTTGTCTAATACATACTTTTGTTTCTGAAATATCCTATACAAGTTACAACGTAATCATTAGGAAATGTTTAGAACATACTCAATATGCCAAAGCAACTGCTTCGGAAAATTGACACAGATTTTAAGTTAAGATATTTATTTGATCAAAACTTTACGGCTTTTTTGCAGTGCAAATTGTTTTATTATGTCATTAGTGTCTATCTTTCGAAGTAGTTCATTTTCAATTGAAAGTAGGGAAAGAGAAGAGAGCCGCTCTTGGCCCATAGTGGATCTTAAACAGTTTTTAATTCTTTTTAGTTTGGAAAAGGACCGCTCGCTTTCACAACTGGTTGCAAACAGTGAAAGATAAATTCGAAATGCAATGTGGACATTAGGAAAACTGGTTATTAATCCACAGTTGATTAGTTGTTTCAGCATTCCATTCACGGTTTTCTCCTCCGGGTACATATTTGAGAATAGCAAAAACTCATCAGCAAAACATTCTTCCAAATCATTGGAATATGTCTTCACTAGATTTCTGGCTTTCAGGATCACTTTATCCTGGGACAGTGATTTGTCAACCAGGAAACCAAATCTGTCACACAACACTGAATATGCTTCTTGGCGTCTACCCATCTGAACAATGAGCTTGTCTACAATAGGATAAAATGTCTGTGTTCGAAATCTGTCACTTGCAGTCTTGGTTGAGACTGTGTCATCCCTGGCTCCTTCATCAAAAACCTGTTTCCTCATACGTTTGCGTTCAGCCTGCATCTCCTCTTTGTAGTCACTTTTATAGAATTCCCTTGGCGTTTTTCAAAACTCAAATTTATCACGGATTTCAGAAAAATATGCCAGAAGACTGTCATACATCTTTACAACTGTGCCCAATTCAATTCCAGGCTCTTGAATAGCTTTATTGACTATGTTAATTTTTTTAAGCAAATCATTCCAAATAGTACAAATTAGTGCAGTCTCAAATGCATCAAGTTTCTTGACAAGGGATTTAGCTTCATGAGCAGCTGAAGGAGGTTGCCCAGTAAATTCTGCAACATTGATCATACTCTGGCTAATCTCTGAGTAGTTCAAGAATAGGGCTGACACTGCATCACTTCTTGCAGACATACTGTGAACTGCTTGTGTTATTAGTGAATATGCTGTCAAATGGGGCCCCATATCTTGGAGGTGCCTAAGGCCTACGAAAGTCTTAACCCGGCCCTGCTAACGGGAGATATTACTGTACTGTAAATTTCAAGTTTAACCCCTTGTTCATATCGGCAGACGTAAATATTATTTTTATTTGAATTATTCGTACCATGTCTTTAACCCCTTCACGACTGGGATGCCACTTTTAATATTTTATTTGGTTAATGCCAGATGATTGTATTCAGCTCAGAGGGGGACCCTGTATACAAGGGGCTAAGTGAAAGAGCTTGGAGAGTGGTTTTCTTTGTGTTCATATCATCGTTGAATAGTAAAGTCGCCTCCCAGTGAGGTTGCCTCATTGGAGGATCTCACTGGGAGGTGAGCATTTGTTGTTGGGTCTATAATTAGGACTTGACTCAGATGCTAGAGACAGTGTACAGTAGCAGCATGTTAAGTCCCAGAAAAATTAAAATGACAGTTTCCTAGTGATTTTTTTTACCTGCCCTGTAATAAAGATGAAGGAAGAGAAGTGTTATTCATGGTAGGATATTGATATTGTGATGGAAATTTTTATAAAGTAAAGTTTAGCATATGGTCACTTCTGGGAATTGCATTTCCAATTTCTGATATCTTTTTTAACTCAGATCCACAATGGCCCTCCACACCACTCCAACTTTGGCTACAGTATGGCAAAGCGGATGATTGATGTTATGAATCAGGCTTATCATACTCAGTATGGTTGTAATTTTACCTCCGTGATTCCTACTAATGTGTATGGACCCCATGACAACTTCAACCTGGAAGATGGACATGTTTTACCTGGGCTCATACACAAGGTTTGTTGGAGTGTTTTCCATCATCTAAAGTAGCATGTCTATAAGCAGTACTGTATAAAGGAAATGGTAATTCTCATTTTCTCTTTTCGTCGTCATCACTGCTACATCACAGGGTCAAGTACCGTGCAGTATATCATGTTTTGGCCTACAAAATTATCGATATACTGTTCATTTTACTAGATAGCAGTTTGCCTCCAAGGTAAGTAGTTGATGTTTTCTGTGAAATTCCTTACCTCATCAGTGACTAGACTAGTTGTGCCAACCAGTGACCTGACATCCCAGGTATGTCCTGTGATTTTAGCAAAACTTATGATTTTAATTGTTTTTATTTCAAGTGTTTTGTCTTGTTTAGATTGTAAAAGCAGGTTTTAGTGAATATTGTGGTATGGAATGTGTGGAACATTAGTTAGATGGTTTAGCAATGTCAAAATCACTGTAGATCCAAAACCACCTGTTTAATGTATGACAGTAATTTAGCCAAGGATAATTATTATTATTGTTTTTGTTTTATAGATATAGGATGGTGTAAACAAGAAAACTCTATCTCCTGCAGTAATTCCAGAGTGTAATAGTACTGTAGTATACTGCTGGTGATAAAGCATAGACAAAGTGGGTACAACAGGTGTTGGCTTCATAAGATAGAAGAAAGATGCTAACAACATATAAGCCTAAAATAATGTTAGCTGAAATAAAGGAAATACATCAGCATATTTAAATCAGTCAGGAATGCTTAAATGGTGTGTTAAGACAGAAGTGATTGGACCTGTTAGAACAGATGTAGTGACAAACATGAGGGAAACTTGTTATGATCTCAAACAAGTTGTGGCAAAATAATAAAAAGAAGTAAGAAGGAAAATGAGAAAATGCAGGGGATAGACAGGAACACAACAAACTGGCTAGCTGGTGGTGGCTGGCGTACAAAAATTTGAGCTTCATTGTGTTCATACTTTTTCCTCTAGTGGCTTTAAGCCAACCGACAGTGAAATCACATTGTTGAAGATTTTTTTTTACATTATATAGTGGTCCCTCGGTTAACGACCACAATTCGTTCCAGAAGGTCGTTCGTTAACCGAAACCATTGTTTCAATGGGATTTTGGGTAATTTGTTCCAACTCACCAAAAATTACATACAAAGTAAAAAAAAAAAAAATGCAATAAAGTACACTTACTTTGAGTTGTATATGTAGAAGGCTCCTGGTTCATGATGATGATGATGGGAATTAGAAGTGGGGGTGGAGGAGAAGAGAGAAGAGAAGGAAGTGGGGGTGGAAGAGAAATCACCCCATGCTTGATGCCGTCATTTCACCCATAAAATTTTAAGTTCACTTGGTGTAATTCAAGATTATTTTCTTTAAATCAACACTGCACTGCACTATATATTGTGAATGTGTTAAATAAATTTCAGAATGACCAATAATTGTACTGTAAAAACGTAAAAATACTCTGTGTTCGAAAGACCCACAAGCAAGATCTTTCCTCCACTGAACAGAGATACAAGCTGAGGCCTTGGTGGATGAGTGAAGTGGCTGATGGGCGCACCAAAAACTAGTTCCCTGTACTGCAATTATTAAATAAGTGTTAAAATTACTAAAAATTGTAAGATAAAACTTGGAAAATTATTGAATAGTACAACCTTCTTGATATTTACTCCAATTTTAACAAATGTAAGCCCTAGAACTGATTTCTGTATTGGCGGACTAATCTTCCAGCTGGTGAGCAAGCCAAAGCATGTCGAAACATTTTAGTAAGAATTTCATAAACCGAATTTTTTTTTGTTAACCGAAATGAAGATTCTTATGGAAGGTGATTCGTTAACTGAAATTTCGTTAACCGAGGCGTTCGTTAACCGAGGGACCACTGTACAGTGTACACTACATTTAATTTTTTAATTTCACTAGTTTATTCCTTGATAGAGGAAGCGGGATCCTAGTGCTGTCACTAGGTACCCCTGTACAATAACACCAGAAGCATCTGGCAAAGTGTCACAAGTATATACAGTATAAATATTATAAAGGGGCTTACTAAAGCCTAAGGAAGGAGGGATATTCCTTTAACACATTATCAATATTATTTACATAGTATCTGGCCAGTATGGGGAGGATCATCGTGTCTCCGTCAGGGGGTCGTGGAGTGGTGGTCCAGCTGGCGTCACGGAAGCGTTGTGTGTGGGGACATCTCAGGAGGTAGTGGATAAGGGTGCTGCTGTCGGGTCTTCTGCATAATGCACAAGAACGTTGCTCAGGGGATGCGGGGATACCAATCTCCCAAGCAAAGTCATACGGAGGACATCGTACCAGGTGGGTGGGGAGTCCAGGGGGATGGCTGCTTCCCGGGCTTCTCTCTGTTTGTGGCGAATTTGGGTCCTAAGCTGTAAAAGTGTTCAAGGAACAACATAGTCGGGTGTGGCCTTGTTGCAGCCAGTCTTGGCAAGGCCATCTGCTGCCTCATTCCCCAAGATACCGACATGACTGGGTATCCATAGGAATGTCACAGGACGGCCTGCATCCTGAAGTGTGGATGCTAACCCTCGTATTCAGAGGATGAGGTCCTTATTTTCCCCTGATCCAAATGCAATCCCGTCGAGAGCAGACCTGGAATCACAGCAGATAAGCAAGGGGCAGAAACCATCTGCTTCTTCCTCAGCGAGAAGGGCAGCAAGGAGGGCTATCAGTTCAGCCTGAGTGGAGGATGCCCCGTCAGAAACTCTGAGAGAAAGTTTGATAGGCTCAGAGGCATCAGGATGGGAGATGTAGACACCAGCCCCGGCCCGACCTGTAGCGGGGTCAACAGAGCCATCAGTGTAGAGGACGACCCTACCTGGGGACCAGTGGGCGACCCTGAAGAGGTGGTATTTGCAGAGAATAACAGGGTTCATGTGGAATTTCGGGAGCGGTCCACCGAGGGCAATCACTTCAGGTTGAAAATCCAGCCAGGAAGAAGGAGACGAACCAACAGCAGGGGTGACAACAATATCAGGCAGGAGGTCGTGTTCAAAGGGCTCGGATGAGTGACCCTCGCCATTGTCTTTTAGATGGAGGTCGGACTCGGACAGCAGGAGTCAAGTTGGCTTTCCTTTTAGCACTGTTAAACCCATTTCTATTACTGTACTTTTGTATTTTCCTGAGGGTATTGTGCCAGCAAAAAAAAAAAATCAAATCAATGGAGTACAGTATAGTCTGGGTTTATGCGCCTAATTAAACCCATGGAGGTCCGCGTATAAAGTGAAACGCATAAATAAATTGACAAAACATATGGGATTAATTGAAATAGAGACTTGGCTGACCGCCAGACTACCCTTTTTTGGGCTATTGCCGACACAATATGTACAGGTAGTTCTGCTATAACGCGATAATTGTGTTCTTGTAAAATATCGTGTTATAGAAAATCGCGTAATAGAAATAACAGGGCTTATGGAGAAAATAGGGTTAGGTGCAGATTACTCGAAATCGAAAAAATTTAGTATTTAGCCTAACACAAAGGATAGCACAGTCTAAATAAATGTTACATTCATATCTAATAATGAAATCATACAGTAAATTTAACACTTTACCTTGAAAAAATATGAATGTAACTTGATGGGGGAGAAGGGTGATTTTGAGGTTGATAACATTGAGCTTCTCTTCAAGTGTTATATCCTTTCTTTTACGATAATCACCGGGAATTCTATCATCAGAGCGCCTTTTGGAGATATTCTTCTTTACCATATTCACAGTTAATACCACAAAATTGGAGAAATAGTAAGCAAAAATCGCGTTATAGCAAACAAGCGTTCGCGTTATACAAATATTGTTCCGAATTCATAAATCGCGTTAGAGCAAATTCGCGTTATCAAAACACGCGTTATAGCAGAACTCCCTGTACATTGTAGGAAAAATAACATCTTAATTTTATGATGGTGTGCACACACAATTAATATTTAAGAGAAATATCAATAATATTAGGTTTTTTAACACTTACTTTAGTAGAAGAGATGGCAGAGGGCAGATTATTGGCCCTCACCTGTATCTCTATCCACCACAGAGGCTAGCAGGGCCTCCTTGTCAAACCCCTCAAAGTCCATATCCTCACTATCACTGACTTGGGCTGGCTGTGGTGGGTGAAGAACTCGGTGATGTTTTGTTGACGGCTAGCATTGATGTGGTCGTGATACAGCTTAACATAGGGCTCCATGGATTGCGACTGAAGGTTATTTGACACTTCGTAGCGATGATTGACTGGGTCTTTGGCAAGGAGGAGCTTCAATCTCTGAGCAGCCTCGATGATTTCCTTCACATCAGCATGTGTTAGTTTCTGCTCTTGTTCTTCTGTGACACCTGGCTGCTCACTGACGTCATCATCTTGCAACATCTCGTCTCTGCAGTCACCTTAGGTTGCCTGATTACCTCCAGGATGTCCTCGTTGGTGGTCTCGGAGAAGCCTGCAGCTCTAACACTTTGTGCAGCCTCTCTTGCATTCTCCAATGCCACAGCAACAGATTGAGCCTCGCCAGCCACCGCTTGCCTCTGCCTCCCACCTGGGATACCCTCCAACACATGACACCAAACCTGACGAATCATTGCCACAGATAGCTGCCCCCATGCCTTCACCAAGAAATCAACAGCTTTCTTGACGTTAAACAGTTTCCAGAACTGCTTGACTCGCACTTCATGGTCAGCCAAATCTTGTTCATGATCCTCGCTATCGGTGCCACTCTCTAGGTTTTGCAATTCATCCTTGGTGTTGGTGAAGTCGTTCAGGTGCCGAAACTTCTTGGTGGAGAAAGCAGCCTTCACGTTGCAAATCAACTCCTGATCCATGGGATTAACGACATAGTGTTAGCGGGAAGGAAGATCACTTTTACGTTGGGGTGACGACCCAGCAATAGGGGCGAGTGTCCAGGTGCGTTGTTGAGGAGCAACAAAATGTTGAATGGCACATTATTTTGCATGCAGAATTTCTGGACATCAGGAACGAGACAGTTGTCAAACCAGGAGAGGGACAGACCAGAGAGCACCTACGCC